TTTCAACTTGTACATGGGGATATAAATCTACTTTTGTGTGTTTTAATTAATTAGATATAGAATTAGAAAGATTATTGAATATATTTGAAAAGCAGTGGAAGTTTTGTAGATATCAGCAATGTTGCTCTTACTTCTTGTCTATTAGTTCTAGGATAACTCGTTTCCCATGCCTTTAAGGCATCTTTACTTTTGGAATTTCAATATTGGTCTTTGCGTCTATGGGGAATGCATTTAAAATAGAAGTGGATTCCATAATACACTCCCTGCTTGAGTGTTTAGGAGAGGGAGGCTCTCCAAAACACTCAATTTTCCTGCTCAAAATTGTTTATTTGCTGTTTAAATCTGCAGTGTCTACAGAAACATAGTATTATTGTATTCCATTTCAGGCTTCCTTTTCTGTGTGATCCTTTACATAGCATAAATAAAGCTCCAGCATTATTGTCAAGAAGATGAGATACCCAGCGAAACAGGCCTCTTGTCCTTCAAGAAGCCTTGGTGTGGTTTCTCTGGGATTCACATTACTTTTGAAGACAGATCTCTTTTTAAATTCAGCAAAGTAAAACCATACATACCAATGACATTTTATAGCTCCAGAAAGAGAAGAATCATAGGCAAAGCATCCACCATTTCAGTGAGCTTAATAACTAAATTAGCAGAGGCAGTAAATGAAATATTTGGTTCTGTAAAATATTTCTTAACATTCTAAATGTCTTTCTGGAGTTTCCCAATGATATGGAAAAACTATAAACGGTAGTAAAGAATATGAACATGATCCCTTGAAAGTGCAGATTTAAAAGCTTTGAGTCATAAAATCTAAAAATGCTGCTGGCATGACATTTAATTTACCTTTTATTTAGTCTTTAGGGTTGAAAAGTACATTTTAAATTCAATAAAAATAAATAAATAAATAATCTAGTATTGTCTATATTTGCTGTTTTATTTTATTTCTCTCCTTTCATGTCTCTCTATCTCTCCACTTAGATCTCATACCCTCTTTCTTTCTCACCTGCCATTGCGTCTCTTTTTTGGAAACCAATTACCTCAAAGTTTTTGAGCACCTTAACTGAAATATTCTAAATTACTTGCTTTCCAGAAACTTTTTGTGTATGCTGAACTTGTCATGATCTTGGGACTAATGACTTTCTTGATTGCTCTTTTCATTTGGCTGCCTAGCTCCGCCCAGTTTCTCATTACCGCTCATCATAGCCACCTGTTCCAGCCTCTATTTAAACTGCTTTCTCCCAGCCATCAGTGCCAGATTATTCTTGAGCCTTTAGTGTAAGAGTTTTCCAGTGTAACCACAGATCAGGTTTTAGATAAACGCTTTTTTAATAATACCACTGTCTATGTTGAGTTGAATACTGGGTCCTCTGTTCTGAACTGAGACAGAACTCATTCAGGCTTAGAATACAAGTCCCTCCAAAGGTGGCTGGAAAATCCTATACAAATTTGGACTTTGAGACTAAATTTTCCACTAACAGATTTGTATCCTGCTCAGATCTGCTCAGATCTTGTAAAGCCAAGATGCAAGGAAGCCTTTTTTCTAATAAAGAAAACTGTAAAATGGATATCAACCTTGGGATGGTCACTTATTGACCTGTTTTCTGACAGAAAAACTAGCAACCATGTGATAATTACAATCAGTTCTTAGTTGCTATTTATACATACTGTGAATGCTACAATCAAATGTAATAAAATTAGGTCCATAGGTCTACTCCCCATCACAACCTTATCTCCTATAAAGTAAAATGTGAAATATGTACATTCCATATCTGTCTTTTAATGCAGAGTTATGTGTCTGCACAACTTGTTCTTTTAAAAAAGGAGCAACAACCTTATGTGTCATGAGTCTTAAAAAATTATAGCTGACCTATTTGTTTCCTAGCAACAGCTATGAAGAAGGATATTCTGCATTGTAAAAGTTGTTTTTGTTTCAAATACGGCAAATTGAGCTCCACATTTAATTGGGCTATCACTAAAAATGTATGCTGTAAAGTTACTGTGGTTAGAAAAAAATGACAATGATTTCCCAGTAAGGATATCCACTGACTGCTGGCCCTGTTTTTCACTACACATGATGTCAATTTCTTTAACAATGCTTTTCTTCTGTTGAGAAAAAGTCCTCTCTTTTTCGTGTTTTATTGCAGAGCTGGACACAGGTGAAAGAAAGACTAAACTGGCTTTATCTCAGTAGGTTTATTTAATAACTCATTATAGGGTAAATGATTCCCTAACAGCCATTAAAAATAATGAAGAGCCAATCGAAATGATTACTACAGTAATATGTCTAATAAGGAGTTAGATAATAAGCTAGCCTATAAGGATTTAACAGGAGTCATTATAAAAAAAACAAAAAAAACCCATAGCCATTTCATGTTGCTCTAGGTATATCCTTTCTGCTACAACAATCTTTGCTCTCCCTGTCAAACGACCCAGAGGTCAGTTCCCTGTTTGTGTGGTTCACAAAGATTCCTGGATGGCAGTCAAGGACAGTCTTTAGCTTGTGTCCTTTGACATAAAGGCAAGAGAGCACAGCCTCTACAAAGCCAGGATCCACCCTCCTCAGCTGACTATAGGGCAAATACTACTTCTCAGGGATGCTTAGTTACTGTGCTTTAGCAAATGTTTTGAAACAGACTAATTGTTGACGTTCTAAACAGTATAATCAAGGGTGAGGGTGAAGATTGTTTTATTATTTTTCAACTTAAATTTATTTTCTCAGATTTCATATCTCTATCTTATCCTTCAAAAATATTTCTGATTATAGTTTTGGAAAATACCATATGTGGAACATTTACATGTTTAGAGTTATGAAGCTTAAGCATAAATTCAAAGTGAAGGAGTTTTATCAGCTTCACCTGAACCACCTGTGATGTCCCTCGTTCAGCTCCAGCCAATCAAAACGGGGACCATACCTTCTCCGAAGCCAATCATCTTGCAAGATCCCCTTTATACAGCTCCTAGCTCAGCTTCTCTCTCCCGCAAGCAAACAAACTATCAACCACCTCCACCCCATATCCTCCCTCATTCTCAGACACACTCAATTTCTGGCTTATTCCATCACCAATTTCTTCTGCCGGGCCCGAGTTTTGTCTCCTTGAACCCCAGTCAGCCTCGGCAGATGGCCACTTACACTTAGCCAGGTTCTGCTGTAGGTTTCTTCCTGTTAAAAGGGAGTTTTCCTCTCCACGGTCGCTGCATGCATGCTCAGTGCGAGGGATTGCAGGGAATCAACGGGACTTAGCAATCAGCTGGTTTTCCTTGGATAGAAATATTTTGAAGAATACCAATGTCTTACCTGTATACATGAATTTAATATTTTCTAATTGCAACTTTTCTCTGTGTGAGTCTTGCCAGGTTGAAATACCTTGCACTTATTAAGTCCATCTTTTGAAAATTTAAATTGTATGGCTCAGCTACAAAGCCCACCAGGCATAGACATTCACCCAATTTGACAGACTGGAAAAGGAGGGAATTAAGCAAAAAAGGCATCCATGGTATATCTAAAGTAGCTGCGGATATTTCAAACTCAGGAAGAATAAACTATTGGCAGGATAACTAACTGTCAGTCATCCACTGACAAAGTGTGGTATTTAAAAAGAGTAACAAAAAGAGAGCAGATGTTAAAGGAAACATTTGATATCCTGTTTGCCACTTAGGCATGGGATAAGAGATGTAAACAGGTTTGGTTCGCTCCATTTAAATAATAATTGTGATAAATATTTAAAAGTTAAATTTAAATGATACCGATACAGGTTATTATCAACAGCACTTTTGAGGTTTGTATCTTAAAATGCTGCAAGGTGAAATAAACAGTTGAAAAGATGAAAATAAAAGTTACATTTAAAAGGTTAAATATCAACCATAAAACCTGAAAGCTAACTTTGTTCTTCTCCCTGTAGAAATATGTCACATCTAATAAACTAGGTATTGAGCTCTTTTTTTAAAAAGAACTTTTACTGTATAGTTTTGTAAAACTGGAATAGAAATGCATACAGTAAACTGTATTTTGAAGTCATGCTACAAAGTGCGACACTGAAGGGGGATAAATAATTGACAGGGATATGTACTATTTATCTTCCTTTAAAAGTGTTTTTGTCCTTCACTCGCACTTAAATAGACATTACACATACAGTATGCTCTGATTTTACGGCCTAGTCAGAAAATGAGTGAAAAAGTCCAAAAAATGTATTTCAGAAGGACAAAGAAGAAAATGAAAGAAATAATTATCAAGGCCACTTTAGAAAATACACTATTGTATGACTTTTCTGGAACCAAAGTAAGTAAAGATAAAAATTTTGAAAAGCACTGTATGGAAAACTTACCCACTAGTGGCCTTTCTCCTTGTTAAACACACACACACACACACAGACACACAAATGCAATCCCCTGTGAATATTTTGTTTTAAGTTAAAGAATGTGTCCCACCGCAGTCTCAAGCCAAGTGAAGGAAGAAATGACAAATGACTTTGGCATTTAACATGACAGACACCCTCTCTCAGTTTCTCCACATCCTGCCCTCTCTCACTCACCACTGGAGTGTGTGTGTGTGTTGTAAATCTGGGTGCACCTATCACTTGGTAAATAAACTTTGAAATATGTCCACTATTGAAAATGCACTTTGAGTATAAGATGATTACACATGCATCGCTTAAAAAAAAGAGATTAATATTGGAAATTGCAGTTTGATTTTTGTGCTTCATTAATTACCTGTGATCAAGCTGGGTGTAAGTTTTCAGTTTAATTAGTCTGGGTTTTCATATTTCTCAGTCCTGAACAATCACCATCACAGCCTTAGTCATAAAAGTATACAACTGCAGTTTTTCTGTAAAGACTCACATCATAAACATTTGATGATACAGAATACCGTTTTAAAGATTCTGCTTGAAACATCTTAAAAGAAAATTAGGAATTCGTCACATACATGTATCTTAAATTCTAAACAAGAAGTGAAGCATTATTTCAAAACAAGACATCCTAAGAAGAAGAACAATAAGTACCTTTGCACACTGGTCTGTGATCACTCCAGGCAGCGAAGACTTCGGCCACTCTTTGACAGCTGATGGTTTTACTGCCCTGGAGCACGTAGTCCTCTCCACAACTGAACTGCACGACACTGCCAATGCTAAACCAATACACACACACAAAAAAACAAAACAGAATTATCACAAAGAGAACAAACCTTCAGGTAAAACATAAAACAACTTCGCTTTACAATACCTCTTTCACTGGCAAACATTTACTGTAGTGAAGGACTACTGTGGGTCATATTTAATTTTGTATTCTTAACATTCACGCAATTTAAAGTAATCCTCGACTATTTCGCGTACCATAATTGGAAAAGCAAATAACTGAGGAACTGTAAGGCCACATTAATATAAGCCCCAGTGCCTTTTCTGAGCTGTATTTTAATTATCTTTTTTTCAGTATTGTAATAAAACAAAATCAGCGCCCGAACTTCAAAAATATTGGAGCGTTGTTGGTAATCTGCTTCGAACTATGCGCACTGATACAGTCTCAGCAGTGTATTTCACTCTTATACAAGCCTGTAACACGACTCTGCTTTATCCAACCCAGCCATATCTACCCAAGTTTGAAACTTTATTTCATTGGCTACAAAGCCAAACCGCCCACATGGTCTGAACCAATAACTGCAGGACTCTATGAGGCATAATATTGCTCTACTCGGTAAGGAGCACTTGTGAGACTGCATGGGTTGTCCCTGACTCAAATAGTGTCATACCAAGATGCGGAGACTTTTGTCTTGTAGGTAAGAAGACGATGTAAAGACATATACCAAACATCATGGCCAAACAAATGAAGAAAGAAGTCTTATTAGCAAGATGCTAAGCATTAGCTATGACCAGCTAACTATTCTAATGTCAAAAAAACTGACGGTATTTGGCGATTTTCTCATCATGGAATATTTTTATTATGAATATTCTGAAATACTTTTAATCAGTGGACCCTTATGGACAAATGGAGTATAAACAATTGAAAACTGGATTTATAAAAGGGCTTCTGGACGCCTTCAAATGTATGTTGTTGTGGCTGCTTCATAATCTTTACATTTTAACATGCTGCTATATCTGTGTTAATTGTGCATTGGTGCTTGCTGTATACATAAAAATATCTTGGTGGTTGAATTGTAGAGAATCTAAGCTTTCCTACGATGTATAACATATCTATATTGGTAAAAATTCTATAATTGTACTTTTCATGCATTCTGAGTTTTTAGTTGTAAATGCTATAAAAACGGTCGCCGGTGATCAGGTGGTTTTTAAGCTGCTAAGGCTTTCCAATACATTTTTATCAGGAATCAACTACTTCCTCCGTGCCTTTGGATAAAACTATGTATTTTGCTTTTTGTTTTGTTTTGTTTTAGGGGGGGCTGGGGACACTTTAAATTTTAAATCTTGCCAGGGTATGGTTACATTTCTGTTTAATAATAACAGAATAAAGCTGTGCTGCTTTCTTCTCTCTGTACATAGAGAGAAGAGTGGTAATGGAGGTGAGAAAATATCTACAGGTTACTGTTACAGAATCTGCAAAAGTAGCATTAGGGTCATCAACCTTCACATTGATGTAATCAACATGGCAACTGTTTTCAGGAAATCCTGGAAACCTTGATGGAGAGCATAGAACTCGGAAATGCAACAATATTTAAAAATCTACTCTGGTAAAAAACTATTTTAGTTATTATTATTATCCAATCCTGGCCTCTAAAAGGTAAGAATAATTGAGTTATGATTGTATCCTCCTGCAGTGATCATAAACACACAAAAACGAAGTACACAGGTTGCATCTTTTTAAATATCTGCGCTACCACAATTAAAGTATTTAGATAATAGCTCTTTACAAATTTTCATTTGTTTTTGTATCGGCCACAGTGCAAAAAACATTGTACCTGAAGTCACTGCCATGGCGTTTTCCATTCTCCGGCTCTCCTGGGTCAGGGCAGGAGTTAGAGGCCTGTTTCACACCACCTTCGTTTACTAAACAAAAAAACAAAAAAAACACATGCACTCGGTTGTGACTAATGTTTTACAATGGGTAGATAGGAAAAAAGCAAAGCAGAACTATTTCAACAAGCCATTCCGAGTTGACTATTTATTTACAGGAGAGACAGTGGGATCAGTGCCTTTACTACTGTGGCTTAGAAAAATTGTTTATTTCCATGAGAGTCAATAATATCCAAATCCAATTGTTCTGAATAACAATTTGCAAGACAACGAACAGCCTGAGTGCTCCCTGGCAATATTGTAAAACCATCTGCTTTTGTCATTTAATTGCATTCAAGAGTGGTTTGCCTGGGTGAATATCCAAATCTTTGCTTTTAGTTTTGGAAACCTGCCTGCCTCATCACTCATTCGCTTTGGAAGCAGCAGGAAAGACAATAAAATAAGAGACAGATGAAGGAAAGGATAGTCCAGAAAGCAGACAATAGTCCAAACACTTGATTATTCTAAAAACTCGAGCTTATCTTGACAATAACAACGAACTGTATACATCCAAGTTTAGGCAAAAAAATGAAAGCCAGGGTAATGCGGATATCCTGATAATTATTTTAACCTGTTTTTCTTTTTTATTTAGGTTCTAACCTGGATTATTTTTTAATTATTAGCTTGATCATTTTTATTGCTTATTTTTATGATTTTCATTAATTCTTTATATAGGCTTCAGATTATTTTTATATGTACAGTTGCATGAACAAATATTTACTCTCCACTGCAATGCAACTTTATTTTGAAGTAGCAGCTGTTTGGAATGAAGAAAAAAAAAACACAACTAATATTGCATGTTACTGCAGTATCTTAGGAACAATAACACTTAAGAATCACTTATCGATACGGCAAATCAATGTCTGATTAGACAAATCATTTAATTAAATATCATTTCACCAAATAATGTGTTTTTAGCTCTCTGTATTTTGATTTTCCATTCTCTAAATTCTTTTAAAAGCTAATTTTACCTCAATTTTAGTTTTTAATTATAAAATCTACTTACAGCTGTGATATCATTGTATCGTCTTTAAAGTCTGTAAAGGGGTTTGAGGTGAATTGGTCTTTGTTCTTTAGTGATCCATTTTCTGAGCAACCTGTTCGCTCACTACTGCATAAATAGTGGAAGGGACGCAAGGTAGCCAGGTGAACGAGGGTGTGCTGCGTCACTCTTTCATAAACTAACTGAACTGACTAAATGAAGCCTATTGCTATAAATAGAGAAAAACTTATTTTATGTCAGGCAATTGTAAGTATATGTATGCGAAAGCAACAAGTCATTGTTAAGCTTTAAACCTACACAGTATCCTTTTGACATATGTGGCAAACAGAACACACCATAGGGTAATTTGATATGTAAATGAATGAGGGATTAAAGAGCAACATGATTTATTTGATTTAATTATTTAAAACACAAGACTAATATTTGTTTCTGTTATTTCCTAACCTTTTCTCCTCTTTTTTTTAGTAATTTTCTTCCAATTTCATCTAAAATCTAACATTTTCAGTCGAATTTTTCTCAGTCATTCATGCACAACTAAGCTAAATAAATCACCAAAGGGCAAAAGTAACAAAGTGGAAAAAAGGATTAATAACTTATTAACTAATTACTTATTGCCATCTAATTAAAAATATCAAATAATTATTTTTTAATCCAACAATTCCAAGATTGTGACCTATTCTAATTAAATGCTAAACATTTATATTTTTATTCCTTTTGTCTTTAATACACAGTGTTTTGGTTTTTTATGTCACTTAGAAAGCTCCAAAAACTGGCAAATCACAGTTTTATTTCAACATGAAAAACAAATCAGATGCCAGCAAGCTCAATTAGGTGCAGCAAACACAGGCCGGAGAAATAATCCTGCCCATTTCTGCTCTCACACGAACACCTTCACACCCACGCTGTCTGGGCTATCTGGCTAACACGCAAGTGCATGTTTAGTCCATATCAACAAACCCAGCAGGTGGTTGGAGAGTGTTTGTGTGCCTGTGTTTGTATTTGTTAGAGTAGATAGTTTGTTGCTTTGTTGGAGCGGCTAATTTGACCATCTGGACTATTAACATGACAACAGAGGGACTGGTTACAGTACTAGCACAAACTCAAAAGCAAAATACACAAATGTTGACCCACACTCGCATATTTATACTGAAAGATTTAAAGAAACCCAAACTTTAATATGCATTTGTTGATGGAAAGGTCTTATGCTTCAGTGAAGGGTTGAAGGTTTTAGAGCAGAGCAAATTATCTTCTGAACCAATCCAAGCCAAACAAATTGATATGCAGAGTCACAATTGGATAGACAGGCCTCAAAAGTTGCTCTCCAACTTGGCATGAAATCTGATTAATCTTTAATACTTCCTTTCTGTATTATTCTTATAAATGTATAAAATTGTTGCATAATAATTTATATACCTGAAGTTCTGCATATTTGACAAGATAGCACACCGATATAACTATTTTGAATGATGTTTAATGGGGTAGATCAACATAATTATGAAGAGGAAATTGTTAAAAAATAAAACCTACTCTTAGAATTATTTTAATTTATGTATGTCTGTGCTTGTTAAACAATATAATTTACCATGTTAAGTATTAAGGCTAATGCTTTCCCTAGCAATTTCGTAAGTTGAGACAAAAGATCTCCTTCATTGTGCTTTTAGATGGTCCTTAATCTAGAACACACCGTCATCTCGATATAGCTGGAGTCAGTGATGTCTCCTCATTTACTAACAACGTTTAAGAACTCTAAGTGTGGCCATGGCGATCTATAAAATGCTTCTTTAACTGTTATTCTGGGCTGACTTCCTGATAAAGTTAGCTAGATGGCAAGTGCTGCAATTGTATCCATGCAGTCTTTCTGGAAACAAATTTTGTTAAATCTGTTGTCATAAGTTATAGTCATTTAACATATATATATATATATATATTATATATATATATATATATATATATATATATATATATATATATATATATATATATATATATATATATATATATATATATATATATATATATATATATATATATATATATATATTAGAAAATTGTTATTCAGAGTGTTTCTTTGGAGTTATCTCTTTTCAGGAGAGAATCAGGAAAAGGAAACCATAAAAATGTACACATAGAGCTTTCCTTTACAAAACTGTGCTGTGCATTTGTCCAGATTTGAATTTGTTCCCAGTGGACAAGGGTAAGCAATGGCACCCTTGTCCACATAAGGCAAAAAAAGTAACGTTTAGGCAAACACACAGGGCTCCTCAATTCCAGTCCTCTAGGTCTTTTGTCTTGCACTTTCTAGATGTGTCTCTGCTTCCACACCTGAGTCATATGGCTGGATTAGTTCCTCAGCATGAAGTCAAGGGCTGCTTTAAATAGTGCAAATCAGTTAGGACACTGCAGTCAAAGCTGAAGTGCGTCAGGGGTTGCTATGATAACTGATATCTTAATAGTGCTGGTTGTAAGGAAGAACGTAGGAAGAGGAAGCGGGCTGCTTCCTATCAATTTAGCATAGGGACCTCAAAACGCTCAAAACTTTAGGGGCTATGTTATTGCTTGATATATAATGGGTCTGACCCACACAAAATGAATTTATAAGGGACAGCTTTAGCGGTGTATTTGTGTAACTTTTTTGGGACTTTTTCTTTAGTCCCAATTTGACATAAATAATTGCTGTGAGTGTCTGTTGCAAAATGATGTCCAAACGAATAAGATTATCCAGATACAGCACAACAGTCCTATGTTCCTTTCCCTCCTTGGATAGTGTTCTTACTATTGATGCCACATAATCTAAAAGGTGCAGGGCATACTGGACTTTGCAGAGAAGAATTAATGAACCTTGGTCTAGGAGATACATTTCTTCAGCCAGTAAAAGTTAACAGTAAAGATGGAGGAGGCCAGATACATGTCAATCCTGTTAGAGGGACCAAAAGGCTTGGGACTGGGGTGGCGGTTCACCCTCCAGCACAACAATGACCTTGACATGCTGAGTTAGAGTATAATTATTTGGATTGAGGTATATGTTTGTGTAATAATGGCTCACTCAATATGAATACAATATAATCTGAATGGGCCTAGAGGGGCTAGTCATGTACTTAGTTAATTTCTATGCCAGTTATATGGTTGCATATAAAGGCTTTCCAATTAACATATTTTGCCCATTTGGCTCATGCAAAATGTCTGTGCTTTACATTTTGTTTTTGTTTTATTTGCTAGAAAACAATGGCTTTGTGTATATTACCATAACAACACTACATGACCAGGGGTACGTTATTAAACACAACAAGAAAGAGCCAAAGACATGTATTTTGTCTATGGAAAATGCAATGAAGCCAAGTCACTAAGAAATAACAAGAGGTGTGAACAGAAAGAAAAAATTGTAAAAAAAAAAATGCGCAAAAAATTGGACGCCTACCATAGTGAAGACCAATTAAATTGGTCTTCACTATGGTAGAAGGTAAAGCTGCAAAAGCATTCAGATTTGGCTGCCAAGTTGACAGACAATGAGAACACAACCTTACTTGTGTTTATTGTTAGCACTGTACTAGTGATTTTATATTCTTTGGCGCTTAGTTGTAGTGACAGAAACATTTATACGATATGATGTTCACCATTGTTCTAGTTTCCAATTTAGTAATATAAACTGCCAGCAGATGGCACACAATGCTTGACTACGTTAATTGCACCTGTGCCAAAATACTTTTCTCTCCCAAAAAGGACTGAACCCTATGAGCCAAAAAGCTTTCTGTATTCTCTTTTATTTTTAGATGAATAGTTGTTTTATTGTGTTTTTCTTATAAAGCCGTAGTGCATAAATAGGCTATTTTTAAGCGGTTTTAATGAGACAAATCAGAAAATATTTCTGTCTTAAGATGTAAAAGGCTGGCAGAGACGTGTATTCTACAAAATACTGACAGAGTGAACGAACTTTATTCGTTTCAAAATCATAGCTTTTTTTCCCTTTTCTTCACACTTCAGATTATGCATTACCTTCTCCTGGCTGATCACATATCATATCAATTAATCAAATATTTAAATTCTAACAAAATAAAATAGGAAAAAGGAGTAAAAAAGTATTTTTAAGCCACTGTACAGTATACAGTGTTGAAATGGTTGACCCAGAAAAACTGAATCACACACACCCACTACCTACACATAAGAGAAAAAGCAAAGCAACCATAAAAAAGGGTAACTTTTCAATTTCATTATTAGAAAGCACACAAAGCAAACAAATACGAGTACATGTGTGGCCTTGAAACTTTATTTTGGTTTGAGCTAATTGAAGTTGCCTTGATATTATGACTTGTAGCGGTATAATATGGCAAAGAAATCAAATCATGCAATGATCATGCAAATATATGGATGCCTGCATAACCTACTGGATGTGCTAGACATATGCTGACTGTTGCCTAAGCAGGTGTGTGGCGTAATGTATGCTTAAACTCGCCACCTCTGCCATGAACATATGGCATGAGGTTATGTGAACTAGAAAGAAAAAGGATGGAGCCTTTCAGCTTTGTAACATGCTGCTTCTTCTGGCTTTAATAATTTAACAAGAATGTTAAACTTGGCCATTGGTGTGTGAGCAACAATGGTGAGCTAAGAAGCAGAAATAGCAGCAGAGTATTTACATTTACAGCAAAAATTGTTGAGCTGGTTGGTTCTGACAAAATGAAAGCCTCTGATGAAATTGTTTATGTGCAATGGTTGTTTGATCTGAAAAAAAAAAAAAACATTAATTTATACACTGAGGAACACCCTGCTATTTTTCAAGTTCTCCCACTGAGAAATCATGGAGGGCTTTGAAATTGTCATTGTAGGTACATGTCCACTGTGAGAGACATAATCTAAAAAAACAAATCCAGAAATCACAATATATGACTTTTTAACAATTTATTTGTATGGTACAGCTGCAAATAAGTATTTAAACGCCTGTCTATCAGCTAAAAGTCTGACTTGCAAAGACCTGTTAGTCTGCCTTTAAAATGTCCAACTCCACTCCATTTATTATCCTAAATTAGATGTACCTGCTGAGGTTGTTGGCAGCATAAAGACACCTGTCCACCCCATACAATCAGTAAGAATTCAACTACAAACATGGCCAAGAGCTGTCCAAAGAAACTAGAGACAAAATTGTAATCCTCCATAAGGCTGGAAAGGGCTAAGGGGAAACTGCCAAGCAGCTTGGTGAAAAAATGTCCACTGTTGGAGCAATTATTAGAAAATGGAGAAAGCTAAAAATGAATCTCAATCTCCCTCGGAAGGGGGCTCTATGTAAGATCTCACCTTTTGGGGTCTCAATGATCCCAAGGAAGGAGTAAAGTCAGCCCAGAACTACACAGGAGGAGCTGTTCAATTATCTGAAAAGAGCTAGGACCACCGTTTCCAGGGTTATTGTTGGTATTACACTAAAACGTCAAGGTTTTAAATCATTCATGGCATGGAAGGTCCCCCTGCTTAAACCAACACATCTCAAGGCCTGTCTTTAGTTTGCCAATGGCCATTTGGATGATCCAGAGGAATCATGGGAGACAGACATGTGGTCAGATGAGACCAAAACCAAATATTTGGTGCCTACTGTGAAGTATGGCGTGGTAGCATCATGCTTTGGGGGTGTTTTTCTGCACATGGGACAGGGCGACTGTACTATATTAAGGAGAGGGCTTTGATCAGGGCCGTGTATTGCTAGATTTTGGGGAACAACCTCCTTCCCTCAGTTAGAGCATTGAAGATAGGTCGAGGCTGGGTCTTCCAACATGACAAAAAACCATTGCACACAGCCAGGATAACCTAGGAGTAGCTCTGTAAGAAGCATACAGTATCAAGGTTCTTGTGTGGCCTACCCAGTCTCCAGACCTCCAGAACCTTTGGAGAGATTTCAAACTCTGTGTTTCTCAGCGACAGCCCAGAAACCTGATCTGTGTGGAGGAGTGGGCCAAAATCCCTCCTGTAGTGTGTGAAAACCTGCAACCAAAGGCTACTGTACCAAATATCAACACTGATTTTCTCAGGTGTTCAAATACTTATTTGCTGTGTCATACAAATAAATATTTTAGGAAGCATACATTTTTTTTAGATGCTGGTATTTTTAATATTTTGTGACCATTTAGAAAATGTATAAGATTGTAGTGGAGCTGTAATTTTCCCAAAATTTCGCCATCAAATGTCTCAATGCATGTGGGTGCCGTGAACTCTATGCTTTTGTGTGGTATATATGAAATTACCATAAATTAACATGCATATAATATAATTATAATAAAACCGTTAACTTTTGTAAAACAGTTGAATCTGTGTATGTAAACACAGGAAAATAAAGTAGACGAGTCAAATGGGGAATGACAATTCAGCACAGCCGGTCATATATATGGCTTACCTGAAAACCTGAACAGGAGGAGCCTATTAAACAACTGAAAAATGTGATCTTTTATTTTTGCAGTATTTATGGATAGTTTGTGCTTCTCTGACTATATATGTATGGCATGATGCATTATCAAAAAAGACTGGTCGATGGAAATTGACAAAAATACTACACAGACAATGACTGCGTAATCAAGGAAATTGTTCAATTAAGCCGAATAAAACGTGAACTATTTTTTTTCTCTGAGCTTTTCTGTATACGGTAGTTAAATTGTTTGGTCTCCTTTCTTAATATGATTTAATAGACATTGATTGATGCATTAATCAGGAAATACTCTTTTTACTGTTGTCTTTAACAACTCCTGATCTGTCAGGGAGAACAGAGAGGAATTACCCTCTTTGACTAAATATGGTCCATTTACATACTGGACTGAAGTAGTTGTTTTGATTTATATTCACTTTTAATTTGAAATACAGTGATAGTATATTTAAAGCTGTTTTAAGTCACACAGTCCTGGCAAACGGCTGTGCTGAATTAATCTCAAAGTACGACCCAGCCAACAGGTTGTATTTTCTCCGCTAATGTCAACTCCTGTGCATTCTACTGATGAATAGGATCAAAACTTTGCCAGAACCTAACAGTAAAAGTTATGACTGATTATGGATTTATTTAGCATTATAAATATCTACAGTTTTGGGCTCTGTTTGTGGACATTTAAATAAATAATCTTCATTTTATGTAGAATCTGCTTGACAGTATAAGTTATTGTTAAAATAAAATCAATCAGACAGTAAGAAAGGGAATCAATATCTAAAGGATGCTGTACCCTTATATTTGAAAGTAAGTGATTTTTATAAGTGGATGATTTATAATTTGTTTAATATAAAACAATTCTAATATTAGGAGCAATTGACTTCATGCTGGATAATCATTCAGTTTTAAAATAAAATAAAAAATACAAAAAAAAAACCTCCACTAAATCCTCTTTGATAAGCCTACTGGTAAAATCTACTCAGTGATTGCTCTTGCTGATCATAATAATCTGAGCCTTCAGAAGCATTATAAGGAAGAGGATTAAAAAATAAAAAAGGTTATGGAAGGATGTGAGAGGTTAGAAACAGGCATTATTGGGGCTATAAACAGTGTTGCAAAAGCTGATTCACATTCTCTGATCAAGCCGGAAGCAAGTCAGAACCATGATTAAGCTTATCAGAGCATGCCTACGATTAAATATATCAAAGTCAACAAAGAAGAGGCAAGACAATGTGACCTTAACATACATACCACAAAAAGTCAAATCACAGAAATGCACAGCAGTCAAGCAGAATGCACAAGCAGCTTTTAGCAAAGGCATTGCTGTTCTCAACAGATTTGTGCAGAATAAGTGACATTTGTCACAGTATTTTGATTTAGCTTTTAAATGAACTGAAAAAAGCTATATGTGAGGGATTTGAAATATATTTTCATTATAAATGCACAAAAGTGTTGAACACGACAAAAGCCTTTAAAAGAGAGAAAAAAAAGTAAAAACAAAGCAAACAGTTCAATCCAATGCAGGTTATTTCATTAGGCAAAAGGAAACTCAGAATTTAACTCACATATCGAAAACTTGTTGCTGGAGTCTTTGCCAGGGAATAATTTTACGCCCCTCGATTTAAAATCTACTGATCGCTTCACTGCAGAGGAGAACAGAGAAAAAAAGAGAACAAAAATCAGATAATAGAGTTGACAAAAGGAAGAAGAATAAATCCGACCTAAGAAAAGGATTAAAATAAAATGGCACATTAATCTCACTCCCGTAATACTGGGAGGTAAAAAAGAAAAGCAAAAGAAATGTACAAGGCAAAGAAAATATAGCAATGGTGAAAACAGATGGACAAGCAGAGAGAGAAAGAGGGCAGAGGAAAAAACAGTTCAGAGGAAAAAATAATCTTATGAGTAGTATCATTCTTCCTTTCTAATCATGCAAATATTTCGCTTTCTTTCTCTCACTGTCACTCATACATGAAACACTTGGGATGTTCTGCTGGAAGCCCCATCATATTCTTAACAAAAGCTGGGAAGAGGAAATTGCAGCTTTAATCAAAATAAGCCACAATGCAGCTCTGTAATCAAAGCATTCAGATAATGAAACGTTAGAAAAGAGATGGCTGGATGGAACAAATCAAAGACAAGAGGCAGCAAACTGATGGGGAGTAAATCCCTGTCAGCGTGAGCTCTGGCAGCATCATTTCATTATGAGCCACATTAACACAGCACTGAACCTGTAGGTTAATGTAGCTCAGCCAGTATGACTGCAAAGAAACTCTTTGTGTGGCAGAGTGAAAAGGTAAAAGTTTATGAGAATCCAAATGCTAATGGAAATGAACAAAACACCAAAAGGTTAGAGTTAAATGTCTTTTAGTATTTTTTTTTGTTTGTTTTTTGCTTCAATTTCAACAAATGATAAATAAAACAAACCATTCCTGAAATAAGAAACAAAAAAGATGCATCCTATCAATAAATTTTCTTGACAAACCACTTCGAGGAGTTTGAAAGACTACAGGACCTCATAACCATCTAAGAAACCCATGAACATTTACAAATGGCAAAAATTGAAAGTACTTCACTGTCTCAAATACTAACCAGTGCCTTTATATACACAGATATTTTTAGTTTAAATTCAGTTAATTTATATAGCACCATTTTATAATACATGTCATCTTTAGGCACTTCAGAGAGACGACTCAATCAGATCATAGAGCCAGATTGGCTAAACGTTTTCTATCTCAGGAAACCCAATTGATGACACTGAGTCATTGACTATGCAGGATACCCTCCTCCTGGATGACAGTTGTCCTTCGCTTGCATTGTGTCAATGACTACAGCATTTCCTCACACAAAGCATGCATATATTCATGCATGAATATATAGTCTGTAATATAAACAGACATATATAGAATATGATAAAAAAAAAAAAAAAAAAACTAATAGTGGAGAGGGTCTATATTGAAAAATACAGCATGGCCTCATGTATTCATTGTTAATGATTATTCCCTTTAGTCTGATCAATCCAACAAATATTTTATTGTGATTTGATTAGGTGTTCTTGGTGCATATCACAGCCATTTGCCTTTCTCTTCCATAAAAAGTGAGACTTGTGTGCTTTAGATGTTATTCTTTGTTCTCTTTTTACCACTTTAAGGACTTGTTCTACTCTTGGAAGAAGTTTAAGAGACTTACCACTTTAAAGAAAGTCAACATCTGGTCAATTTTTTGTCCATTTACTGCTCATTGTGAGGTTTCCTGGAGTTTTAAACCCTTAGAAACTGTTTTGGTACCCTTTTTAAACAAATAGATGCAAGTAGCTTTTTTAAAAAAAAATCATAATTCTTATTAAATTTATTTTGACCAGACCATGATTAATTTACCACATACTGGTCACCTTAGTCCAGGGCAACTTAATAACTTCAACCTCAAAACTATTTGATTAAATAAAACTGAAGGTTGAGGTTTTAACTAATGTTCAACTTCCCTAGCATTAAACCTATCTAATATTCTCTGTAACCAATAAGAAAATATATATCTGAAGTTAGTGTCTTCTTTCAAGCTTTTTCAAAGCTGCCTGTTTTGCTGATGTTGATGTTTGCTATCCATTTCCCTGCTATCACAATTTTTTTTTACATTGACGGTCAAACCTTAACTACATAATTTCACAAGAAAAAGAGGTTTATGAAAACATAGTTTGTGATCTAAGAAGCATTTACTCCGTGAAAACAGAAAATAAGATCCATTATATTTTTCAGTTTTTTTTTTATTTATTTTGTTTTGTCTTATCCTCTGAGCCAGATGTATCATTGCATTCATATTTATTCCTTTCAATAACTAGTCCTAAAATGCTTGCTTAGTTGTTTTCATTATATATATACATATTACAGTAGGAAGTTAGACTGAGCCTTAAAAAGACAAATGCAATAATTTGTGCTAAAATAAATTAGCAGAGAGCTTCTCTGTCTAATGAAGTTGGAAAAACAAAAAATCTATTTTGTTTTTTCTAAATCATATTTTTTTTCATTCAGCATGCTTTTTGACATTTAATTTGCCATAATATAGAGTTTAATGTTGGGTTAAATAGGAACCCGATGAATGTGACCCCCTACACCCCCCGAGAAAAAAATGTAGCCTTGCATTTCGCAAGAAATAAATATCAATATTTAATATAATTATTTAGTTTGATATTAGGTCACATTTTACAAGTTAGTTTGTTTGCCCAAGTCATGTAGCACAACTAATCAAAGAAAAATCTTACATATATATTTTTTACCTCTATTTACAAATAAATAACTTTATTATCCCTGACCCTTGTGTCACAACTATTAAGCAGAAATATGTTTGAATGCAGATAAACTTATAATGCTTCATAATTCCAAAATATAAAAGTAGAAATTCATACACAAATTATTTACTGTACAACATTTTCAGGTGAATATCTATACATTGCCTGTTCGTTAAGTTTTTTTATGCATTTTCCATTTTGTCACTATTTAACAGAAATAACAGAAATGTCAAACACAAAAATGCTTTTTGTCTATTAGCTTGTGAAAACTTATGTATGTGTGTCGGAAGGCATTAAATCCTTATTTTTGTTGTTTGAGGCATGCATTAATTCCCTGCTTTAAGCCTTCTTAATATGCATCATAAAGCATGTCCTATATGTAAAAAAGCATCAGAGTTAAATATGAACTGGTTAATATTCTAGCCTACATGTAGCAACACTAATGCAGACAGAAGGAGGGCCAGATACATTTAAGTGAGCAACATTCATTGGCTATAAAGCTCAATATTTAACAAACTATATTTAGGTACTGAATAAGAACTTAAACATGGATGGTATTTGATAAGACACTTTGGGAAAAAATAAGTAAAACAATTAAGATACACTATTCTGCTTATTCAGCATTTTTAATGTCACATTTTTCCTTTCTAAAGATAAATCCATTTTCAATGTCCTCCGGCTTTGATACCACTGATGCACAGTCAACAGAGAGGGTACGTGTAGATATCAAGACGCAAAACTCTAAAGAAGAGTTAGAAATAGATATCAACTGATGAGTTCCTTCATGCTTTTTTGCTCCAATTTCTATTGGATGAATAATACTAATACAAAATACACAATATTTAAAATGCACTCATTAACTTATATGAAGATAAATCTAAAAACTGAAACAAGGAGTGTAACCACTCCTCAAGTTTTGGAGTCACTGCCCCAATGATGACGGATACCACTGATGCCTTGACCCTCTATGTTTTCCCCAGCTCTTCTCTGAGCCCTTGGTATTTCTCTAATTTCTCGTGTTCCCTTTTTCTGATGTTACAGTCACTTGGTATTGCCCAGTTGACCACGAAGGCTTTCCTCTGCTTTTTGTACACCAATACAATGTCAGGTTGGTTTGCTATTACCAGCACCTGATCTTCTGTTCGCAATTGTCTGAGACATTCGCTGAGCACATCGTCAATTGGAGCCGTGTCCTTGATGTAATTATGGATCTTGCATGTTTCATCCTGGATAGTGGCTCTCACGCTCACTAGTCCTCGGCCTCCTTCCGTTCGGCTAGAGTACAGTCTAACAGTGGTGGATTTGGCGTGGTACCCTCCATAAATGCTTATGAGCTTTCATGTCTTAACATCTGTGGCCCGTATCTTATCGTTTGGCCAGCTTATTATTCCTGCAGGGTATCTGATTACTGTTAGAGTGTAGCTATCTATTGCCTGAGACCTTCTTTCCATTGAGCTGACTTCTTAGGACCTACCTCCCTCATTGGAGGTATTTGGACATAGCTGCTTTCCTCGTCATGTCTTTGAGGTTGCCATTTGCTTGTAGGATTCCAAGGTACTTGTAACTGTCCACAATTTCTTCTATTTTTCCTTTTGGGAGTGAGACCCCCTCTGTTTGAACTACCTTCCATTTCTTAGTCACCATCTGACCACACTTCTCTAGTCCGAATGAAATCCTGATGTCTGTGCTATGTATATATATATACATATATATATATATATATATATATATATACATATATATATATATATATATATAATATATATATATATATAAAAGGCATTTCAAAAGGACAAAGCAGTGTTCATTCAAAATCAAATGTGCACTATCAAACAACCTGGATTAATTCCACATCACCTACTTTATATCACTCTTTTCAATAATAATCACAGTGTGAACATCCTTTCTTATAGAGTAACAGCAGAACAAAGGGTAAATAATGAAAGGCACTTCTGGTAAAATGCAAGCTCCTACAATAATTTAAGAAATAAAAGGCCCAGTTCATGGATTTATGAGTTCATATGATCCTGTCGAGGCTTGCACTATCCCTGTACTCAGTTTGACTAATGGATCATAAGTTAGGGCTGACAAGGAAAAGGGCTCAGGGATTTATTAACACAGAATCCAAATTTTAAATTCTGCATGAGCTAAATGTTTTCTTTCTTTCATAGCTATAGCTATCCTCTGAACTTTGTAATTCGAGTTGTGTGCATTTCATCATGAGTTGGTTTAAAGAACAGTCAACAATATCCAATATGTCAACTAACTCAAGGGTTATGCTGTCCCACTGCTTCAATTGAATAATGTTCAACACCCTTGGTTGGCTCCTGTTTCTTTTTTACCAACTGAATCATTTCTTCC